CTGTCCCTCAGCTCTTCAGCTCAAGGCTAGCACTCTACCACTTGAGCCACAGAGCAACTTCAGGTTTTCTGGTCATTTATTGGAGATAAGAGTCTCACAGACTTTCCTGCCTGGGCTGGCTTTGAATTGTGAACCTCAGATCTCAGTCTCCCTCCTGAGTAGCTACAATTACAGGTGTGAGCCACCGGCACCTGGCCTATTATTCTATTTTATGCATAGATTTTAAATGTTTCAATCATATTTACTTCCTCATATATTTAACACTGGTTATGTTTAACAGTTTATTATTACAACTAAATTTGGTATAGAGTTTAAAATGTGTTTAAAATAGTGTTTAAAATGTTTCCCCCATATGAGAATTCAAATACTCCATCAGATACTAAGCAAGTTATTTGTATGAACAAATTTTTTAAAGCACTTTATAGTAATAGTATATAGAGGTAAATATATCTCAGAATACTCAAGTTACTTTCTTTTTGTTTTGTTTTGTTTTTGCTGGTCCTTTGGGGCTTGAACTCAGGGCCTGGCAGCTATTCCTGGGCTTCTTTTTGCTCAAGGTGAGCATTCTACCACTTGACCCACAGCACCACTTCCAAGTAACTTTCTTGCGGTCTTGTAGGAACTAACAAAGGTCTTCTCAAGTTCATTTCCATATGATTGAAGAGATTATACCATTTCTACTATATTGCATTGTTTCGCAGTTCATTCTGTCCTCCCCATAGTGCACAAAACAAGTATAGGTGATAATTTTAACCCATTTTTTTTCTTTTGAAAAATCAAAAGTCAAAAACTCTAAATGACATGTCTAGTAACCGAGGCTGAATTTAAGCCCAAGTCTTTTAACAATGACTTTATTCTTTCTCTATTTCAGTCACAAGTGATTTACAGCATTAATAGGTAAAAAGTATCATGTGTTCACAGGCAAAAGGAAAAAAAAGAGCTAGAACACAGCTATATTAATGAAGGGAGGTGAACCCAGATACTGTTTGCTTAAATTTTAAGAAATAGACATAAATAGCACCTTTTAAAAGCTTTCAGTAGGAAAGATTCTGTTATGGCATTAGGGTTTATCTGAAAAAAAAAAAGTAAACCATATGACATTCCACAGAATCTTTTTCATAAAGGAAAAGGAGAAGCTGTTATTTCACTGAGCCGTTGTCATGGTTACTTAAAACCCATGACTCTCTGCTGAAATGTGACTTTCTTTTCTTCCCACTGTTTGCGTCCATGTGATGTGCTTTTCACCTGATGAGTGAATTCTCTGGCCACAATTCACTTATGTCTATCATCCATGATATGTTTTTCTCTTTGTTTTTGTTCAGCATGACAGCATTCTTTGATATACCTTTTCTTTTTATAGCTAACTTTTCTGTTGGTTGTATAACATTGGATCTAATTGTGTTAAGCTTTGAATTTTGAACATTAATTTTACTGAGTAACCTCCTTTCTACAAAAAATAATGGATTGTTCTAGTTGATGATAAACATGCTTCTAAATTTAAAAGCTTCTGTTCATCAAACAAATGAATGAACAAATGAACCAACAAACAAAAGGCACAAATTGTGGGTGAATTCTAAAAATATCATTAATGACTTGTTTTTTATGTGCTTTTTTCATAGAAACCAAAACAGATAAATATTATCAACCTAATATAAATAACTTTCAGATGTAGTATGATTTTCTTTATTATGTTCTTTATTATGCACATTTTCTTTATTATGTTCTTTATTATGCACATGTATATGCATATGCAAGTTTAGAGAAAACTGCATAAAATATTTTATCCCAGATTTTGAGTTATTGGATATAAAATACTGTAAAAAGTATGGATTATAGTCTACAAATCTATCTTTAGCTTTATATCTTTGATAATGTCAAACCTAGTATTTCTTTGATTTAAAATTTTCAATTCAACAAGCATTTTATGTGTGTGTGTGTGTATGTGTGTGTGTGTGTGTGCGCGCATGCCTGTCTATACTGAGTGGGGCTTGAACTCAGCATCTGGGCATTGTCTCTTAGCTTTTTTGCTCAAAGAACTTGAGACACACTTCCACTTCTGACTTTTTTCTAGTTAAGAAAAGAGGGATAAAGTGCAGACAAGAATCCAACCTACATCCTACAAAATTAAGAAGAGTAAGGAAAGGGGTAGGTTTGTAGGGGAGGGATGGATGCGGATGTTGAGACAGGTTACATTGATCAAGAGATAGATGGGAAGGGGAAACAAAGAGGAAGCAATAATGCTTGATAAGAAATGTGCTCGTTATCTTGCCCGTGTAATTGTAACTCCTCTGTACGGTATTCTCACAATAAAAAAAGAAGAAGAAAAAAAACTGCTTTGTTAAATGGTAACTCGTTTGTAAAATAAAAAGAAAATAGAGTCTCATGGACTGGCTTTGAACGTTGATATTCAGATGTCAGCCTCCTGAGTAGGTGGGATTACAAGCACGAGCCACCAGCATCTGGTTCAACATGCATTTATTAAGCACCTTGCAAGGTATATATCATTGCCCTGAACTCTGCAGGTACAAAAACATTTATGAAAGATCGTTTCCTGGGAGATTTTGGTAAATATAGAACCATTGCATGTTACAGGTGCTTTATATAAAGTGTAATGATGGAACAAAGGAGAGGGGATGGCTAATTTTATATGACTAAAGAATATAATGACTCATAGTATGCTTTAACAATAACGCAAAGAGATGCATTGCTGTTTCTCCATGTTTCCAGGACACACGGATTAAGACTATCCATGAGATTATACATCCATGAATTTATTTTATTATTCAATCTTACTGAGCCCAAATGGTAGTTTTATATCTCAGTGTAGTCAGAGGTACTTCTGAGGTTTTCTTCCTAAGATGTATGACTTTGGATAGTCTTAGGTCTTTCTGTCTTCTTATAAACTGATAAAACTGGAGCCCTACACTAGATACCACTGGAGATCTCTTTACTGGGACTTAATAAATGGTCTCAAATTTCAGAAAGTTCCATTGGTGCATCAAGTGACAAGATAACTAAAATTAACTAAAATAAGGAGGTGCTGTATACAGGGATGCTCTCAGCCTGGCTAATGTGTAAGGTATTAATGAATTCAGTTAGCTTGGAAGTTACCATATCTCATCTTATACAAAATAGCTGAAAATTTAAGCTTTCCATTTAGGCAAAAGCATTCAAATTATTAATGTGTCTATTAGACAGCATGCATTTTTATAAAGTGAAAGTAGAGAGATATTAAACAGGCTCCATATTATTGAAATCAGTGGTTCTCAGGACTGCCTGAACATTAGAATCGCATAAAGTTTTACAAATACTGACAGCCAAACTTCACAGGAGACTTTCTGTATGTCTAGAAAAAGATTAGATTAGTGAAACCCATGCAACTATTTTATTAAGAAAAGAAATTAAGCTTCCTCAATTGCTTTGATAGTAAGAACTCCTGTTTTAAAACTCCCAAATTAATGAATAATATTCAATATACATACGTGAAAATGGAAACATGAAGTTGAGGGAATGAGTTGGGTTGGAAGGGATGGGGGAGAAAGATAAAACGGACAGTTGATAAAGGTGCATTGTACTCTTACTGTGTTAAATTGAAACCCCTTTGCATAACTACTTAAGAATAAGAAAGATAAGTAATAAATAATCAATCTTAATTTGTTGAAGGACTGACTAGACAGGTTATATAAATAATTGAAGCACAGTCATCATGAGTTGGGTTTGACAGCCTCTTCTTCATCTTAACACCACACATGTAGGCAGATGGCACCTGTTCATTCATTTTATTCTGTAGCCTAATAAAAACAGTGAGACAGACTGGGCTAGATTCTTTGGCTAAAAATATTGCATGACCTTGACAAAACACAGTCATCATGCAGCCAGACTATCTCAGAAAAATATTACCTTTGCTATTTACCATCTGTGTGATTTTAAATGAATCTAAACCAATTACTTGATGATTTTAAATTAATAATGACAAGTGTATCCACAAAACATTTCACAATATGATTTCACAAATTCCAAATGCTCATTGAATATTAACTGTTTTCATTATTAATCTATTTTAACTGTAATACCCTTAAGTACTTAAAAATGAAGACTCCCTTCAATCAACATTTAAGTGTCCCACAATAATCATCATCATTGATATTTACTAAATTTTGCCTTTTCAAGACTCTTTCTTGAATATTCTGATCCATGGAGCTGGGGCAAGGCCAGAGATTTTACAATCATATAATAAGATTTTATGTAATAGTTTTATACTTTATTTATATACCTAATATTTGATAATGCTGTAATAGTGGGATTTGAATTAAGGAACTCATGCTTGTCAGGAAAATGTGTTACAACTTGGACTATATCTCCCAGCAATATTTTATTTTATTTTTATATTTTTGCTTCAGTCTGTTTTAGATAGGGTGTTACAATTTTAAATATTTATCTATTTATTTATTTATTTATTACTAGACTGGCCTCAGATCATAATCCTAACTCTTCCTCTTCAAAGTGTGGATTGCAGATGCACACCACCATGCCCTGCTGATTTGTTGAAATAATATCTTAGGAATTTTTTTTTTTAATCAGGGCTGGCTTGGAACCATAATTCTCCAATATCCATTATCTGAAGACCTTTCCAACCTCAGTATTTTATTTAGAAACATTGGGTTAGATAATTTACTTGTTCATCTAAAATGCTTGCATTCTTTCATTTATTTCTTCATTCTGGGCCAATGCTACATGTCAGGCCTTATCCCAGTGCTAGAAAGAATATTGGTGAACTAAGTCCCTTTTGTTCACTCCAACTTAGAAATCTAGCAGAGGAGACATGTATTTGACAGTTAATGACAGAGACATCTACTGATTACAATTAGAATGTATTCTATAAAGGAAAAAAAGACAAAGTTCATCAAGAGCTCTATCAGAGACACTTTTCTGCACTGGGTAAGACATAACAAAAGGGAGAAAGTGGTTGTTAATGACATTGTGCACCCGGTGACTCTTACCTGCCAAGAGGAAAAGAAGGACACTGGGCTGAGGAGGTTGGGGTTTGCAGGGTGGCTACCTCCCATGTATTCATCGGTGCAAATATCACAGTCTTTTGCATCCCTCCAGTCCCAGTAGGGAATGCTGAAATTCTCGTCTCCAGTCAGCTTTTGGATTTCTTGTTCCCACAGCAGCAAGAACAGTCTGTGCCAAGGCAGGAAACCTGGTGCTTCGTGGGCAAAATCAATGTCTGTCCAGATTTCAGATCCCCCAAGGAACGTGTCCATTGACACATAGTAATGCATCCAGACGAAGAGGTCATAAATGCTGATGTCTTTGAACATGGGTGCGGATCCGTTTTTCATTTGGCCATAGGTTCCTATGGGGATGACAAAGTCTGGGCTGATGGTATGCTTTGCTAAAGTGAGATAGGCAAGAAATTTCTCCTTCTCCGAAACGCTTAACTCAAAGATGCTTTTCCTCACCAACAGTCTCTTCTCTGTGCAGTTTGGTCCTCCAAATCCAAATCTACAGTTTCCACAGTTGAATCCCATGAAGTTGCCAGAGCATTGACAAGTCCTGTTGTAAAACACAGATGGCCACGACTCTCGGTCATCCACACCTCGGAAGGGGAATTGAGGCCCGAGAGGTGCGTTGGACAGAAGAATGCCCTCGCAGTACCCTCGGCCCGAGCGCTGGCCACAGGGGCTGCCATCACCTTCCCAGACCGGGCAGCACTGCTTCTCCATCAGGCTCTGGGAGGAGGCACAGGCTCGAGGGAAGTGGCCAGCAGAGATGTGGAGCCACCACAGCAAGCAGCATACAACAGCCAGGAACATCATGCCTATAGCTAGACCTTACAAGATCTGCTGGAGCTGCTTGAGATTGGAGCCAGAGACTTTCTTTTGCTGATTCTACAGTGACTGTCACATGCCTTGGCTAAGACCTCCATAACCCCACCCCCATCTCCAACATCAAATACTCTCAGTCCTTCTCTTTAGCTTTAATCTTCTGGAGAGCGCATGACTGACTTTCCATGGGAGTTGGCATACATCCCACAGTGGTGCTACCAACCATTATTAGTTTAATTCTAATAGTTACTGAAATAATATTTAATTGTAATAATGCCTGACCTAAGCAAATTAACCATGAAATTAGCAATGACCTGCATTTGCAAATGAGAAGTAGCATGAGGAATTAAGAAAAGTGAGGAAATACTCTGAATTATGGGCATAAACAAGGCGGTTTCCCAGGAATCATAATGTACAGCATTTGTAGAACTCAATCTGCAAAAGGACTTAATTCAGAACTGAGCAATTATTTCTTATATCTGATTATGTTTCATCTTATTTGACACAAGATATGAGAAGAAAAAATTACTGCTAAATAACTTTCTTTGATTATGCATTTTCTAACTATTAAAGATAATAGGTCTTTTTGATAGCATGGAGGACGGCTTCATTATACAAACTTCTGTTGTTTGATTTCCAAAAATCAATTTTCTCTATTCTTTCCCCTTCTCTTTCTCTCTGTGTCATTGTAGTCACATAATTTCCATTCATAAACTGTGGAAATAAGAAAGTTATTTGAATTATTTTGTAATGTGAGTCTTGCAAAAGAATGATCAATTTGGCAAATGAATTAATACAGATGCATACATTTGTTTAACAAAATTTTTTTTGATGACCTCAATTTTTCCATGAGATATTTCTCCAAGTGTATATGTAACTAGGGAAACTGAAAAGTGTGCCAAAAATATAGTCAAAGTTATTTAGGTTTGTTACTAATTGTGTAGTAAAGATAAGAAGTACAGATTATTGTGTGTGTGTGTGTGTGTGTGTGTGAACTGAGAATAGTGGAAACATTTTGTTATTTTGGCCAATTGTATGCAAATGCTATTTAGAGAGCACCTCTTAAGTACAACCTCTTAAGTAAAAAAAATGATGGAATGAAATTGAAAAGATAAAGGGAATGGAGAAACTATTGAGACAAGGGAAATGTAAGAGAGAGAACTGTGTTTCACTTGCTGAGATGGAGCATTTGTATTGTTAGTAATTAAGTAAGCGATCAGGTATGGAGAGATTTGAAAACTTAGTGGTTAGAAGTAAAGTGTGCCCTTTGTGAGCAGAAAAATGGTAAGAACAGTCAAATCACACTTGTTCCCCTGTGACTTCTTTCCCTATTTTGCATCTCATGTACAGTGAGGTGGTCCTCATTGTGAAAGACTGAGGATACCATTAGTGTCTGACCTTTAGCAGAGGAGAGCTAGGGAAAGTCACTTTTCTGATCATGCAGGAAGGTGATCCTGCTCTGCCTTCCTCCCTTCTTGCAAGGATTTTTATTTCAAAAAATGTTAGGACTCTTCCTTGTGACTCCTTTGAGATCCAAAGCAGCCTTTGCAGGTAGATAGTGTAGTGTGTGGGTGTAGAGGAGGAGAAGTTTCCATGGAAATTTTGCCTCTGGCTGGGTTCACTGAGTTATCACATGATCTCTTCCAGGAAGCAGAGTTCCTTTCCTCTCCACAGCTTTCAAAACCAAAAGGACATTAACACAAGGCTTCTTGCCCCTAGGGAATCTTGGTTCTCTATTACTTGTAACCACTCTGGCCTTCTGAAATGCTTTTCCATCTAGTTGTAGGCAGAATTCCACTTCTTACATTCAATTTAATTATGAATTTTTTCCGTTCATCCCACCTTCCCCTTCATACCCAATTAGTCTCCATCATGTTTTATACCAGCGTTTGTGTCTGGTTTCTTTTTTTCTTTTCTTTTCTTTTTTTTTTGTCGGTCATTGGGCTTGAACTCTGGGCTTGGGCACTGTACCTGGGCTCTTCAGCTCAAGGCAAGCGCTCTACCGCTTGAGCCACAGTGCCACTTCTGGCTTTCGAGTGATTTATTGGAGATAAGAGTCTCATGGACTTTCCTGCCTGGGCTGGCTTTGAACAGTGATCCTCGGATCTCAGCCTCCTGAGTAGCTAGGATTATAGGCATGAGCCACCAGTGCCCGGCTAGTATCTGGTTTCTTGAGTCTTATTGTTATCATAATCTTCAGGACTGGCCCAGAAGAATGGCCAAGGTGTGCTCTTACCTCTTAATTTCCTTCAGAATTAATTTCCTTAAATTGACAGTTCTCTTTATTCCTCACCAACATAGTATACTGTCTCCTCTAAGCAACAAGATATAATATGAATTAATATACATTTACATATTATATAAATTATACACACACATATACACACACAATCATATTGCCAGTACTGGATTCTTCAAAATCAATCCCATTGACACTGAGTTTCCGACACTATATATACCTTCTTCTTATTGCTGCTTTGGTTGTTTTTGGTGATGGTGGTGGTGGTGGTGGTGGTGGTATGGCTGGGGTTTGAATTTAAGGTCTCAGACTTGTTACACAGATACTCTATGATTGAACCACGCTTACAACCCCTTAACTACCTTCCTTAAGTATCTCTATGTTGTAGGATTTGAAGTTGCTCTTCTCTATTTTGGGTAGTTGTTTTATGTCTTAACACAGAATGGATGCAATAATCCATTAACTACAACATAGTACAAGTATTTGCTGACTATCAACTATTAGAAACATGCTAAGAGAGAAGGATATGTTAAGCACCAAGGAAAGGTATTTACCATAATGAAAGCTAGCTTTTTGGCCTGGTGCCAGTGTCTCACACTTGTCATCCTTGAAGGTCTCACTCTCACCTCATAACCCGAGGTGCTGCCTCTGAGTAAAGTATTACTTTCTAGAGCTTCAGCGTTCCTGGGTGAAACATTCCAGGCCCAACTACAGGTCCCTACCTCCCCCAGTTTCCAGAAAAACCATGTCCTGCCCCCTTGTGTCACTACCTGCTCCAATGAGTCACCTACCACTCCTGGCCTGACCTCAGCCCCGCCTCACCCTGTCTTTCAACCTCTATTCCTGTGGGAAGGTTGCTGCCCCTTGCTGAGCCTCAGTAACCATCCTTGTCCTTGAGATCCAGTCCAGCCTGTTCTTTCTCCTCTATTTCCCTAGCAACTCTAGCTACTCAGGAGGCTGAGATCTGAGGATTGAAGTTCCAGGCCAGTCCACGAAGGAAAGTCTGTGAAATTCCTTTCTCCAATTAACCACAAAAAGCTGGAAGTGGAGCTATGGCTCAAGTGGTAAAGCACTAACATTAAGCACAAAAGCTAAGGGACAGTGACCAGGCCCTGAGGTCAAGCCTCAATACACAAAAAACAGATTTTTAATTTTTTTAAGTTTAATAATAAAAGTGCACATATTGTAGTAACATTTTTTTCTGTATTAAATGACTTAAAAAAGTTGTAGCTAGGGTTTATTTTATTATAATAGAGTTAAAGTAGGAAGAATAGAATAAAAGAAACTTCTTGCTCCCCACCCAGGAAATGGGTGTTAAACTCTTAAATGACTGTTTAAAATTTCTATAAAGGAAAATAACAGAGACAGTAAAGAAAAGTAAAGATGGTGAAGTGTCTGTCTTTGGAGGGAATGTTTGCTTGGAGAAATGACTTTTCAAGGGACATCTGAGGGATTAGTTGAAATGGAAAGAGAGGGACATGGAGTGTGCAAGGGAGATTACAAGGCACTAGGACTCCAAGTGAAAATGGCATGACATTTTCAACACTCATAAGGACATGTAAGGTAGCTTTTGTGCCAAAGCACCACTCATGTGACCTAAATACAAAATCATGGACCAGATCATTGAAGGAGGATCCCACACATCCATCCCAGGGGACCATGCAGAGGCAGGCAGGCACAGGAGAAAGATTATTATAAGGTTTATTAGAGGAGCCATATTTCCCCCAAGAGGGAGCACATGGCCTCCATCCCCATCCAGGTAGCAGGAGGGTCTGAGGGATAGGAAGTGAGGTAGATGGGAGTTCAGGTGGGTCTGGGAGGAGAAAGGGAGGGGCCAGTTGAATGGAGGGAACTCCTGGAATGGGAGGTCTGGGTGGAGCTGAGGACCAAAAGTGAGCATAATACTAACAGTCATAGTTTAAAAAGCAGAGTTGTGATGCAATCATTTGTGGATTCAAACATTTCACTCAAGTTGTTGAGATAAGAACAGATATGAAGATAGGTGTTAGTGAAATGAGTCCTTTCCCATAGATTAGTCCACTCCCCTTCTCCACAGTTTAGCATGCTCCCTTCCTAGGCAACACTAGGCCCATGCAGTACATAATCAACTTCCATTCCCCTTTACCTTGGGATGGCACTTCTCTGGGGCAGCTACCACCATATAAGGCAATAAGAGCCCCTTAGAGTGACCTTCAGGTTGGGGCAGCTGCAGGATCCTTATCTACTACTTGGATGGCAGCCATAAGTCCTATTCCACCATGCATCCACACCACCACTCCTCCTCCTAACCCCTTCTAGCCCCTCCTAAACCTCCCAGATTATATAGCTCACCCCAGACAATAGCGGAGCTTCTTCTCATTCCTTCCTTGTGAGAAGGAGTCTTGATGGCCCTCTTTCCCTGGCAATAAACCTTTCTTTGTTCTCTGTACCTGGATGTCTGCTTGGTTCTCTGGCAAAGTCTAATTAATCTTAATTTGCTATCAGTAGGAACAACTACAAGATGTAAACACAACTGTTAGGAGATTGTTGGAGTATACTAGGCAAGAATGAGGCTTGGACCAGTGTAATTTCATCTGAGATGGATGGGAATGAAGATATGGTGAGATACCAAAGTGATGGCTACAGCAAGTGTATGAGGAGAAAGGACAAGGGATTTAGGGCTGCCTCTCAGGTTTGGAATGTGCTAGTAGCCAACATAAATAATAATAGAGTTGGCTAGAACTGATGACTCATGCCTGTACTCGCTACT